AAAAAAAAAAAAGAAAAGAAAAGAAAAGAAAAACTTTTTGTAAGTTAATTTTCTGATTTCTATGTTAAATAGCATGGAAGATATTTCACTAATTGTAACACATTTAAAATATTCGTGCAGCCAGGATAGATGGAGATTTGGGCAAGGGGAGGAAGATTTTGTGAAATAACCTTATTTTATTAATGTTGCTATGGCACGAAGTAGCCTTGGTTAAGCTACCTAATTCATTTAACTGTGAGACTTTTATAAATGTTAAATGGTAAAGACAAATCTTACTAGAATGAGTGACCTCAGGTTACATATTCATCATAAAAATCATTCTATTTTAAAGCATCCAGAAAATCAGGGTACCAGTTATTCTGGAAGTTGGGCTTGTGACTGCTAAAAATACTTTGAAGGAAGCTAGTCGAGTAGTTGCACTCCTTATTTTTAAAAAGATTCCTGCAGGTAAATTTGCTTAAGACTTATGTATAAAATGAATGTCAACTTTATGAAGCAAATAAAGTAGAAGTAAGTGAATGTTGATTTAGTAAAGTCAGGCAAACTTTATATTTTGACAAGCCAGCAATATTTACCAAAATTAAACAAAACAAAACCCTGACCCCTAGGAAAGATGAGAGATCCAGGTATACAGACCCTCCCACAAAATCAAATGGAAAAAAAAACAACCAGTTTTTAAAAAGAGAAGCCTTAATAAAAGGTTCTGAAACAAAGGAAAGTTTTAACTTCATGGCAGAGGCTTTGAGTTGCTGAGAGATAACAGGTAGGGCCAAGCTATCCAAAGACTCAGAATATACTTATTACTCCCCTTCTAGAAGAGAAAGAGGGTGGACAGGATTCTTTGTAGAAGCATAGATACTCTTCTATTATTGCAGATAAGCTATAATGCTTACAGAATGTGAACTTTGAAGTAGATCAGTGATGAATGTCAGAGATCAAACTAGAGTTTACAGAGTTTGGGGGAATGGCAAAATTTATACTTTTGTGCAATTAATAAGTGGACTAAACCAGAAATGAGAACAAAGTGAGTAACATGGATTAAATTGTTGAGAGGATTAAATGAGATAATGCATGTTAAGTATAACGTCTGGCATATTGTAAGTGCACAATATAACCATTTATTATTGCTTAAATATTACTGCTATTTCTAGGACACATCCTCTCAAATGCTTTAAAAAGTTCAAAGGAAGTGATAAAGTTTGTTTAATAATAGGACATAACAACCAGCAAAAATAATTACAGTTGTCCCTCAGTATCCATGAGGGATTGGTTGTAGGACCCCTGGCGATACCAAAATCCAGACAAGTTCATAGTCCTTACAGGTGGCCCTCCATATCCACAGGCTCCACATCTGCAGTTGGTTGAATCTGTGGATTCAGAACCTGTGGATATGGAGGGTCTACTGTACATTATTAAACCCAAGATATTGGAACATAAACACTGTATATACAGTTGTGACTTAAAATGTTTCATTAAGAAAAATAAGCAGGCTGGGCGCAGTGGCTCACACCTACAATTCCAGCACTTTGGGAGGCTGAGGTGAGAGGATTGCCTGAGCCCACAAGTTTGAGACCAGCCTAGACAACTTGGTGAGACCTCATCTCTATAATAAATCAAAAAATTAGCTAGATGTGGTAGTAAGTGCCTGTAGTTCCAGCTACTTGGAAGGCTGAGGCAGGAGGATCACCTGAGCCCAGGAGATCGAGGCTATGGTGGCCGTGAGTGTGCCACTCCACTCCAGCCTGGGTAACAGAGTGAGACTCCAACTCAAATAATAATAATAATAATAATAATCAGAGATGAGGAAAATGGAATACTTACTGTAGTGTGTTGTTCATAAGCACATGCTTTAGAATCTGGGCAACCTTGTAATATTTCTTCAAAGTTGTTAGAATTAAGTGAAGTATAGCACTTGGCAAATGATCAATAACTGACAGAAGATTTTCTTGTGGGGCTCAGTTTCCTCATTTCTAAAAATAAGAAGACAGGCCAACAAGGGTGGTTCACATCTATAATCTAAGCACTTTGGAAGGCTGAGGCAGGAGGATTGCTTGAGGGTCCAGGAGTTTAAGACCAACCTGGGCAGCATAGTGAGGCTCCATCTCTACAAAACATAAAAAACTCAAATTAGCCAGGCATGGTGATGTGTGCTACTCAGGAGGATGAGGCAGAAGGATCACTTGAGCCCAGGAGTTTGAGGCAGCAGTGTTATGATTATACCACTGTATTTCTTTTTTTGTTTTGTTTTGAGTTGGAATCTCACTCTGTCGCCCAGACTGGAGTGCAGAGGCCGCTCCCGGCCACCACAGCCTCGACCTGCCGGGCTCCGGCGATCCTTCCGCCTCAGCCTTCCAAGTAGCTGGAACTACAGGCGCGCGCTACCACGCCCAGCTAATTTTTGATTTATTGTAGAGATGAGGTCTCGCCAAGTTGCCCAGGCGGGTCTCGAACCCGCGGGCTCAGGCAGTCCACTCACCTCAGCCTCCCAAAGGCGCGGGATTACAGTCTGAGCCACCGAGCCCGGCTTTTTTTTTTTTTTTTTTTAACAAGGTGTATTTTGTGATCAGGAAAACAATAAAATCGTAGCATTTTTTAAGGCGAGGAGGCTTTCCACTTTCTGAACCTTTGGAGAAAGTACAAGGAAAAGCAAAATTTCCTTGTTGATCTGTCTTAAAAACGCAATAGCCGATGAACCGTCTTGGGGCCCCCTCGTCTTGACAAAGAGGTAGGGATCTTCAGTATGACCTGGCACAGGAGTCGAAGCGCCCGGGCCGGCTCCTTAACAGGCTGCCACAGGTTCTCCACTCGCACTTCGGCTTTTAAGCACTGTTTTCCGTGGAGGCAGAGCGGGACCACCCCCCCCCGCCCCCTTACTAGGGCAAGCGTCTGGTCCCATGCGTGAAACGTGTACGTTCACGGGACTGAGGCATCCCCCACACGCGTAGGGTTAAAGGTGAGGTCGAGGTTCCCACAAAGCGCGGCGCACCTTTCCGGAAGTAAGGAAAATAACCGCTACGATGCCTTCGCCCGGGCAGACCGGCTGGCGACGCAGCCTTGCGTCTGGTGGGAAGAGAAGCAGCGAGGCACTGTGGCACTTTGTTTATCTCTGACTACGCATGTGCCAGCCGGCCTGGCCCGGCTCCTGGAGCCAGTCCGGGAGGTGGAGGCGGCGAGATGCTCGTCAGCGGAGCCGGCCAATCCGTCGCGTGCGCAGGCGCAATGGCTCAGGCAGCACCGGAAGCGCAGGGGGATGGGGCGGCGGTGACGCGATTCTGGCCGCGTTGGAGGGGCCTGGCCGCGGTCGGAGTAGCCGCGGCCGCCGAGTGACGTGGCACAAGCCGGAGCCTAAAAGCCCGAGTCAGTTGACGCGCCAGTCGCTCAGCGGGTCCTCGCTCCGCTAGTTACTGTCCGGGCGCTTGCGCCTCTCGGCACACGGGCTAGCGAGACGTCCCCGCCACCCTCTTTCTTCCTCAGCTCTTTCTCTTCCCTCTTGTTCTGTTTGCCGGGAGCGTGAAAGGAGAAGGCCCAGGGACGCCCCGAGCCCCTCCTGCCTCTGCCCATCGCAAGTGCCACTACCGCCATGGGCCTCACCATCTCCTCTCTCTTCTCCCGCCTCTTCGGCAAGAAGCAGATGCGCATTTTGATGGGTGAGTGCGGGGCCGCGAGTCAAAGCCAGGGCCCCAGTGGGAAGCCGGGAAGGCCTGGTGTCCTCGCTTGGGGCGGCCTCGGGGCCTGTTTTCCCCTCCGCCTGCCGTTGGTGGGGGAGGGGCGGCGGGTCGGGGGTCGGGAGGAATCCTTGAGGGGGGAACAATGGAGCCTAGGGTTAGCGGTCGCCCCGGATGTGTCACCCGACGAGGCGGAGACAGGACTTCGGGCACGGTTTCCTCTTGTGTTGGTTTTTATCCTTGATCTTACTGAAAGCTGGACAGGATCGGGGGAGACAGGGGGGAAGCGAACTTTCGCAAACGAAGCCCGGTGGGGCCCGTTCTGAGGGCGCGGTGTGCGGGCTCTTCCCCGGCAGTGGCGGCGGTCGGGAGGGAGGCAGGGCGGCTCCAGCCCTTTTCCTCCCCTTTCCGCTCTGTGTACCCTCTGCACACTCCATGGGTGTGGGGGCCAGCGGCCCCGGCAGTCGGGAGCCGCCCGGGGCAGGAAGTGACCAGGCCCGGTTGGTGCGAGGGAGCACCCGAGGTTTCCGAGGAGTCTGGGGTTGTCAGCGCTCACTTTCCTGAACTTTGCCTCGCGCTGGATTCCGCTTCGATTTTTCCCCCCTTCTCCTCGTTAATAAGCTCGTTCTCCGAAAACTGAGTTTATCTTGTGTCCGTTTCTTTTGGCTGCTTTCAAGAACTTTAAATATAGTTGGTGTGTGCTTTGGTTTTCGAACTAATTGTTACCTAGCTGGCCTATGGTTTAATGCAAAAACCTTTCTAACTAATTTTTTCAAAAATTTTCAGTAACTGCACATCATGATGCTTAATTTTGGGTAGGCTTGTTAACTCTAAAGTGGTTTTGTTGTTGTTGAGGTTGTTCCCCCTAAGAAAAAGGACGTAAAAAGAATTACTTTTCAGAGGCAGTTTTTTGGTCAGCTGAAGGAGAAGGTCTGTCACTTGGGTGATGTGAGCAAACCCCTCCCCTTAGTACTGAGTAATCTTACAGCTGAGCACCTCTAACTTTGAACACTGAACCTTATCGGTTCTTTAGCTTGCTTGTTTTCTAGGGGAGGCAGGGTTGTTTTTGAGTCTTCTGCCACCAAAAGTTTTAAAAAACAAGCTTGTGTGATACTTCAACGTATGTGAAGAGCAAGTGTACACATTTGGCTCTTGTTTGACTTTCCTGTTAATTCAGCTTTTTTTTTACACTTCATAAAACAATCATTTGTGATTCATTCACAAAGATAAATCAAAATGTGTTCTCTGTCAAAGTTTCTCGGATTTCCTTTGTGAAGAGGAAAGAATTATTTTAGCAGGGCAAGCGTGACATCAATATTCAAGCCTTAAGTGACTGAAAATGGGCAGTGTAAAAAAAAGGATCGGAAGTCATCGGGAGAACTTTGGACTGTGATAAATGAATTTCTAGCCCATGCCTTAAAGAGATTAACCAATATATGGTTGTGTTTCAGAAAATGTAGTGCATTGGTGTTTTTTAAGATTTATTGTAAATGAATTGCTGTTTTTTATTTCCTTAGCCTTTTGCGATTGCTAAAAGTGTCAGAGGAGGAGGAAAGTTAGGATTATGCTGTGTGCATTCCTATATTTATATTAGTGGGTGTGAGCTATTAAGCTGTTGTCTTATTTTTATTTAAAAAGTCATTTGTGGATTCTTAATGGGTCTTAAGGTTTTTTTTTCATTAAGTTCTTAGGTTACCTAGAAATTATTGCATTATTTTGTAAACACCTTTTTTAAAAGATCACATGCTAGTCGTAGTTGTTCTATTTTAAATAAATAAGTGTATAAAGTATATTTAAGATCCTTAAGCTAGTATCTTTCAAAAGAGATACATCATTAAATGTTACTAGCTCAACATTTAATTAGATAATCCTCAATTTTTTGTCTCTTCTTCTTTAATGGGTGTCTCACTGTTTCAGCTAGGCTGGAGTGTAATGGCGCTCTCACAGCCACCTCTAGGCCACCATAGTCTCAACCTGCTTGGCTCAGGCGATCCTTTAGCCTCAAGCCTTCCAAGTAGGTGGAACCAAAAGGCATGTGCCACCATGCGTAGCTGATTTTTTAAATTTATTATAGTTATGAAGTCTTGCCATGTTGCTCAGGCTGATCTCAAAACCCTGAGTTCAGGCAGTTCTCTGGCCTCCGCCTCCAAAAATGCTAGGATTTGAGGCATGAGCCTTTGTACGCAGCTAATTTTTTTTTTAATGAAAGTTATACATGTTTATTGGGCTAAAAATTCTAACAATAGAGAAGGAGAAGAAGCTAATACAAGCAGGTATAAAATATTTTAGAAGAAAATTTGAATTACTTTCATATCTTTTAATAACTTAAAATAATTATGTAATGATGATTTGACTTGAATTTCTTTCATTTTTGTTAGTATTTTTGAATTTAATATTTTATTTATTTACTTTTGAGTCATACTCTCACTCTGTCACCCAGGCTGGAGTGCAGTGCCACATTCACAGTTACTCCATCCTCGACCTGCTGGGCTCAGGCTCTCTTTCCGCCTGGGCCTTCCAAGTAGCTGGAACTGTAGGCCCGGGTCACCATACTTGTCTAATTTTTCGATTTATTGTATAGACAAGGTCTCGCTAAGTTGCCCAGGCTGGTCTTGAACCCAGTCCTCTTGGGTCCGCCTCCCAAAGTGCTGAGGTTATAGGCATGAGTCACTGTGCTGGGCAGTATTGTTTTAGGATGGTGATATGAAGATCTCACTGGACCTGTAAAGAGGACTGGCAAGTTATCATAGTTTCAAAACCTGACTCAAGTGTTTTTTTTCTTTTCCTAGTCAGCATCTTAATTTTTACTTGGTTGAATCGTATTTGAACTTACTTAAAGGTGAATTTTGGTTAACAGAACATCTGATCAAAATCACCCAAAGAGGCTGTATGCTCTTGAGAGACTTAGCTTTGTGGAACAATTTAAAGATCTGCCTTTTTTTTTTTTTCTTTCTCTTTTCTCCTTTGTTTTCTGTATTTTTTAAAGAAGATGCCAAACTTTAAGATAGCTACTTTTTGTGTGTGTATATTTTAGAATTATTTTTCTCATCTTTTTGATACTGTTCCATACTTTAAAAATCAAAACACTTGTGGAACAGTTGGTTTCTCTTATACCCATGAATGAGGGCTTACTCTGACTAGTAAGTAGCATAGTATTTGGCAAAGAATAAACCTGCACCTCAGTGTGAAGTGGGCACAGGTTTTACCAAAGTAATAAGAAGGCATAAAAGGCTTGGTTCTCCAGAGATCTTAAGGCCACTCTTCATAGGGTGCAGAGTAGAAAGGATTGTTGCAAGAGTGAAGGGAGTGTAAATTACCTATAGCCTTCAGTTCTATTTTGAAATAATTGAAAAAGTTAAACTTACTTGCATGGGAATGTAAATTAGATAGTAAGATGAATTCTGATTTTTTTTTTTAAACTTACTAGTATTGCTTTCATGTGCTAAGTCTTGCTTTGATTTAAATATTGAAGTGTCCTTGCTTAAATCAACTCAATTGAATTGACTGAAAATCTTCAATAAGATAAATGGAGGTGGCCAATTGTGATGTCCTTAAAATAGTGATTTATTCAATGAGGTTATTAGATATTGATCTTTCCTTTATGAGGGCTTTAGCAAACAATGCAGAATATACAGGTTTGAGAGATTCATACTTACGAGCATTTAATTTGCTCTTTACTATCACTGTAATAAAGAAGTATATCCTCTTGTTCTAACTATGGATTTTTTTTTTCCACCAACAAGCACACTCCTCCCTACTCATACTTCTGCTTCAAATGAATCATTTTAAGATTTCAGACATGGCCGGGCATGGTGGCTCATGCCTATAATCCCAGCACCTTGGGAGGCCAAGGTGGGAGGATTGTCTGTGCCCACGGGTTCGAGACCAACCCGGGCAACTTGTTGAGACCTCATTTCCACAGTAAATCAAAAAATTAGCCAGGCATGGTGGTGCATGCTTGTAGTTCCAGCTACTTGGGAAGGCTGAGGCGGAAGGACTGCCTGAGCCCAGCAGGTTGAGGATGCGGTGGCCGTGAGTGTGCCACTGCCCTCCAGTCTGGACAACAGAGTGAGACCCTGACTCAAAAAAAAAAAAAAAAGAAGCCGGGCTTGGTGGCTCAGCCTGTAATCTCGCGCCTTTGGGAGGCTGAGATGAGTGGATTGCCTGAGCCTGCGGGTTCGAGACCTGCCTGGGCAGGCGAGACCTCATCTCTACAAAAAATCAACCGGGTGTGGTGGCGCGCGCCTGTAATTCCGGCTACGTGAAAGGATCGCGGGAGCCCAACAGGTCAAGGCTGCGGTGGCCGGGAGCGGCCACTGCACTCCAGTCTGGGCAACAGAGTGAGACTCCAACTCAAAAAAAAAAAGAATTTAGACATTACTTACATTGGAGATGAATGTGGTAGGGCCTGTGTGTGTGTGTGTGTGTGTAGATGAGGTCGTCCCCTTGGGTGGTCTCTAATTTCTGGCCTCAAGAGATCATACTGCCTTGGTCTCTCAAAGTGCTGGGATTATAGCCGTGGTCCACTGTGTCTGCCCATAGGGCCATTTTGACAACATAAATTACCCAGATTTTGGTTCTCGTTTCTGTGCATTTGATGTTGAAACAGATTTAAATAGGGATAAAATCGCCCCCCTCCCTTCCTTTATTGTGTTTTTGATTTAACTTCTAATCTGTGTTTTAAAAAACAGTAATGGTTTATGGAATTAATAAGGACTTGAATTGGAAGAGATCTTAGAGTATCTATTAAGCTCTTTTATTTTATGACTAATTTCTCTGGCTTCAGTGTCCTAAAATGACCTGTTTAAAGGTACTCAGCTAGTTTGGCAAAGGCGAGATTAGAACCTGAGTTACCCGTCTACTTTTCTTTTTCTTTTTCCCTTTTTTTTTTTTTGAGTTGGAGTCTCACTCTGTCGCCCAGACTGGAGTGCTGTGGCATGCTCTCCACCACCGCAGCCTCGACCTGCTGGACTCCGGCGATCCTTCCGCCTCAGCCTTCCAAGTAGCTGGAACTACGGGCGCATTCTACCATACCTGGCTAACTTTTGATTTATTGTAGAGACGAGGTCTTGAACCCGTGGGCTCAGGCAATTCGCTCACCTCGGCCTCCCAAAGTGCTGGGATTACAGGCTGAGCCACTGAACCCGACCTACTTTTTTCACTACTATATGCTGTTGTTTCTCTAGAAAGAAAAGTGGGAAGGCTTTCTGTAGAAAGTGTTTGTTGTCTTTGGGAATGAGAAATAAGATAATTTCACTTCTAACTCGTATTTGTGCTCTGAGCAGTCAACTTTTACTTTCAAATCATAAATTTATTGGAAAATTATTTATTGGTGTGTGCTTTCGGTCTGGATTTTAAATCTATAATATCTTCTTCTAGTTGGATTGGATGCTGCTGGCAAGACAACCATTCTGTATAAACTGAAGTTAGGGGAGATAGTCACCACCATTCCTACCATTGGTAAGAAAGTTTAAAGATGACTTTAATTTACATCCTAATGATACACTGTAAAGCGAAATTGAAGACAGTGGGATTTTGAAGCTGAGTTTTTGTTAAACATGTTGATTATCTTAGTAGGAGTTTTATAAAGCTATTTTAAGATAATTTCACAATAACAGGGTTTATTTTCTTAATTTCACTTTATTGTGCACAGTAGTAATTTTTGTTTTTCTTTGTAGGTTTCAATGTGGAAACAGTAGAATATAAAAACATTTGTTTCACAGTATGGGATGTTGGTGGCCAAGATAAAATTAGGCCTCTCTGGAGGCATTACTTCCAGAATACCCAGGTAATGAATACTTTTCTTTAGGTTATAACTTTTCTTTATAGGTTTCATGCTCTGAAGTTTATATTAATATCTAGTATTTACTTGGATGTTGATGTTTACTATATGAGTTGGCATTCATCTTATCAGCACTTCCCATATTCTTCATGAGTAGAGTGTCACTGAAGCTTTTGAAGGCTAAATTCCCTAGGGTAAAAGAAAGAGTTACATGGCTATCACAGTAAGATTCTGGAAGATGGGGTAGGATGTTGTGCCAGTGTCATTTTCAAAAATGACTTATGTGTCTCATTGATAGTTCTGGTTTCATTTTTGTTTAGAAAGCAAGGTCTGTATAACTTTCTGATTATAATCTCTAATAAATGTCAGATAATCCATAGTCCTTTGTTTAGCCCAGCTAGTGTTTACTTTATTGAAAATACATTAAGGTCAGTCTCCTGTGTTGATTTGTAAGGTATCTTTATATTTCTTTGTGTGTGTGTGTATAAAATATTGGTGAGCAAGAGACCTTAGTGATTCTGTAGAGCAGGAATTCTCACATTTGACTGCACGTTAGAATCATTTGGGGAGCATTAGAGACAGAGTGAGACTCCAACTCAAAAATAAAAAATAAAAAAAAAGAGTCAGGGTCTCACTATATTGCCCAGGCTGGAGTACAGTGGTTTGATCGTAGCTCACTGCAGCCTTGAACTCCTGGGCTCAAGCGATCTTCCTGCCTCTGCCTCCTGAGTGGCTAGGATTATAGGTGAGTGCTACCATGCCCAGCTAATTTTTTAAATTTATTTTTTTTTGTGAGACAGAATCTTGCTGTGTTGCCTAGGCTGGTCTCGAATTCCTGGCCTCAGGCAATTCCTCTGCCTTGGCATCCGGAACATTGGGATTATAGATGTCAGCCACTGTGCCACACTGCGTTTCTTAAACTTTAATGTGCATTTGTTTGTTAGAAATACAGATTGATTGAATAGTCCTGGCTAAGGCCTGAGAGTGTGTATTTCTAGTAAGTTCTCAGATGGTTGATGCTACTGCTTTGGGATCAACAGCAGAACTGTTGATGTTTTGAGCTGGGTTATTCTTTGTTGTTGGGTATGGGGAGAGCTCTCTTTTGCCTTGCAGGATGTTTAGCAGCATCTTTGTCCTCTACCCAGGAGATGCCAGTAGCAACGTCCCCCAACTAAGTTGTGACAACCAAATGCTTCTCTTTACCTGTAAAATAACCCCTGGGGGAAAATAACTTCCTGCTAAGAACCCACTGTTACTAGTCTTTTATTATGAGGAAACTGAAACTTGGAATGTCTTATTCAGGACTAGAGAGTTCTTGTTTTATCTTTCTGTTTATCCTAGTCTCAACTCTATTGTCTTTTCTACTACACAAGGAATTTCTTGTTAGTTTTTTACTGCTTTAAGTTGATGGTTTTTTTTCTAAGTAAAGTGTGTTATTACAAGCATGTTATATTTTTAAGATTTGCAACGTTATCTTGTTCTCCGCCTCGTTTTGTTTTTTTTTTTTTTTGAGTTAGAGTCACACTCTGTTTGTTGCCCAGACTGGAGTGCAGTGGCATTTTCACAGCCACCCCAGCATCAACCTGCTGGGCTCCAGTGATCCTTCTAGGTAGCTAGAACTACAGACGCATACTACCACACCCGGCTAATTTTTTGTATTTATTGTAGAGATGAGGTCTCGCCAAGTTGCCTAGGCTGGTCACGAACCCACAGACTCAGATAATCCACTTGTCTCGGCCTCCCAAAGTCCTGGGATTATAGACTGAGCCACTGAGCCCTGTCGTTCTCCAACTCTTAAAACATTGCATTGCAAGTAAGGTATATTGCTACCAGCTGATAGTGAATACTCAGGTGAATGGCTGGAACAATGAGTTTAAATAGTATGTCATGTTATTGCCAGGTATGGTGGCTCACGCCTATAGTCCCAGCACTTTGGGAGGCCAAGGTGAGAGGATTGCCAGAGCCCTAGCTTCGAGATCAGCCTGGGCAACTTAGCGAGACCTCATCTCTACAATAAGTAAAAAAAAATTAGCTGGGTCAGAATTAGCCAGGCATGGTGGTGCATTCCTGTAGTTCCAGCTACTTGGAAGGCTAAGGCTGAAGGATCGCCTGAGCCCAGCAGGTCAAGGTTGCGGTGGCTGGGAGTATGCCACTGCCCTCCAGCCTGGGTGACAGAGTGAGACTCCAACTCAAAAACAAAAAACAAAAGGCCAAGTCAGGAGGATTGCTTGAGTCTAGGAGTTGGAGACTTAGCCTGGACAGCATAGCCAGCCTCTGAATCTACCTCCCCCACTGCCATTCGTGGTAGTATGCACCTGTAGTCCCAGCAACTCAGGAGGCTGAGGTAGAAAGATGGCTTGAGTGGCCCAGGCATTTAAGGCTGCAGTGAGTTTTGATTAAACCACTGCACACCAGCTTGGGCAGCAGAGCGAGACCCTGGCTCTAAGAAAAAGGAAAAAAAAATGTTTTGGATTTTGGAGCATTTGAGGTTTCTGATTAGGGGTACTCAACCTGTATATACAAAGGCAGAGAGAATAGTTTATTAAACTCTCACATATTATGCAACTCAGTTATTAGGATATGGTTAATATTGTTTATTGATATTCATCTCTAATGTGCTTCATCCCTTGGACTGTTTCAAAGTAAACTACAGACATTTCATTTAGGTATTAAATTTTGAAGTAGAGTTAAATATGAAGTAAAACCTTGCTAAACCTTATGATTCTTGACAAGGATAACCTTGGTCTTATCCCTAGATTTGTTTAGAATGGTTTATGTTTTAATTCCAATTCTTAATTTAAGATAAGACCCATTATTGGTCTCTTTGGTGAAATACCCTAGAATTAAAAGTTCAAGTACTGGCCAGGTGCAGTAGAGTAGCTCATGCCTGTAATTTTAGCACTTTGGGAGGCTGAGGCAGAAGGATCGCCTGAACCTAGGAGGTTGAGCCTGCAGTGAGCCATGATTGTGCCACTGTACTCTCTAGCCTGGGCAACAGAGTGAGACCCTGACTCCAAAAAAAAAAAATTCAAGTACTGACTTCCTTGGAAGCTCATGCCTGCTGAGGAAAACTTTATGTGTTATCTAATATAATCATTGCTAAGCTCTTAGATTGCATTTCCAGCATTCCTGACCAGTTGTTGTAACTGTAAGATTTATTTATTTATTTATTTATTTATTTTTGAGTTGGAGTCTCACTCTGTCGCCCAGAC